CTAATGGAAAATCGGGAAGGAATAAAAATCTATTATTAAATGTTAATGCTGAACAATGTACATTGGACGGATGGGCAATATTTGGCTCTATAGAAGCAGTAACGACCTCTTCTCGTACGAAGAATAATAAATGTTATTTTTCGGCTACTGGTGGCAAGGCGTTGATGTCTCAAATTGTTAATGTTTCTGATGATGCAGTTAAATGGTTTCGACATAATAAGGGAGAAATTTATATCAGTGCGGAAGGTGATCATGTTTTGATTAGAATAACATTACTTAACTCAGCTAACAAGGTGGTTCAGAACTATACCTTGGGTAAGAATGGTCTGTTGTTCTTCCATTGTTTTTGTAAAGTCTCTAGAGCGGCGACTTCGCATAGGAAAATATTTACCAACGGGAGCTTCTATCATAGTGAGTACTTTTTTGCATGCCAGAAAATGTCTCTTATTTTACAAATCTTTCGAAATGGTTCTGCGCACTGATTCGAAATATGGCCTTTAGAACATTCATTGACTGAAAATAACAAATTTTATGTAAAAGGTCAGGGATGTATGGACCCAGAAAACCCAGAACGCGTCATAGAAGTAGAGTCGCATAAACCATAGGTCAAGGGCTGGAGACGAAATAATTCAAAGTGGATTGAGGGAAGACAAGGCTGGGGAAGACTGGAGTTGCTCATTACAATGATCACACGGCTAGTTACCTCGGAAAGCAAGTGTCTCTCTTCATGTTGTAGGCCTAAACTGAGAATTTTTTTCCCATCTTATAAGGTTTCTGAGCAGAGTTATTCCGTGAAACAAAAGAATGTTTACAAACATATAGCCTATATATTGGTGGACCTCTATTGCACTATTTCAATTTAGAAGAAGATTACTCTGGAGTTCTTGTCTCTGGTCACCGTCAATAAACCGTCTCTTTTCTTTTCTTTCTGTGTTTTAAGGTCCGTTAATCAGTGAACATGAATCAAAATTAATGTACAATCAACGAAAAATATCCAGTGTCTACAATGAAACAACGACTATAAAAACAGAAGTCATATTTGAACGTATTGATGGATTGTATGGTAATATTTTTTTGTCAATTGAGCAATTGTAAGTGTAAATTACAATATCTATCAAGGCTACCAAGTACAACATTCATGCCTTTTTGGTGATTTTAAAATATAAAAGGAAAATATATATGTACTTAATAAGTCAGGCAAAAAATATTATGACGATCAATTACATCTACGTTAAAATGACACGTTTATTGAGAAGCCATATATAAGAGAAAGAGGACACAAAATGCTAATTATTGTGTAAGACTAAGATCCAGGCGTCATCGCTGAGTTAACTTATTCCAACAGTAGTCATTCGAAGACTGACAGGCTAAGAATGCGTACCTGATTACTATCCATCTAAAAATATAATGCATTCGGTTGTTTTTTGAAATAAAACTCAAAAACAATAAAAGATAGAGACATGCGGTTTTCAGCAATCTAAAAACAACAGTTTGAGCTTTACTTTCATAAGCAAAATCATTTTTCGAAAATATTCCGAAGATCAGTTTTCTACAAGATCTTTGGAAAACCATCTCGGATTTCTAGAAACTGACATAGTAATCTATGGTTCTTTTTCCGTAGATAGATAGTCCGAAGTATGCACTACAAAATAACATTTAAGCAAAAGTTTGGTTTAGCGTGGTTCGAGTGTTACGGACCTTTTTTCCGTGG